TAAACACTGTTTTAGTTTTGCTATTTCTTAAAAGTGAATGAAATTTCGTTTTCGTACATTTTACCTATGAAAAACAACATGTAGATGTACATGTTATCCGTATAAAACAAAGTACATTATATACATATGCTTATTAAATTTTCATTAGAAATGCTGATGTTCATTTGACATGATCGTTTTAGTTTTATATTGTATATAAAAGAACTAAACAATTGAAATCAATTTAATGAGCTACTTATTGAATAATAGAAAAAATTAGAGATTAATACTATGAAAATTAATTTCATATTTCCATTTTAATATCAACGAAATCAAATTGAATACGAATAGAAAGAAAAACTTTTTTATGTTTACATTTTTGATGGTAATTAATATAATCCAACTACGATAGAAGATCGATTAAAACATATATATTGATAATTAAAATAACAAGAGCATCTTTAACAACAAACACTAAGAAGTTTATGCCACTTTATTTCTAGCTAGTTTAAATGAAATAAAATGTAATTTTCACTGATGATGACAAACTAATTTACTTATATTTTCTTATTTTAAGAATTATCATCTTCATATTACTACTGAATTTATTTCATCGACGAATATTCAGATCATTCGTTTGTTTCTTTTTTTATTTATATTTTACAAAATATTTCTAGAAACCGATACATACCGTATCTACATGTATATTTTAGATGTATGTAATTCAATGATATAAAATAGAACAGTAATGTTTTTAAAATAAAATGTTCATGAACAATAAACGAATCACTATTAAATAATATTGATAAAATTCATGAAAATTTATGATCAAATACATCTGTTGATACATATGTTTATCATATACGAATGGATGTGGGTGTGGATGTGGATGTGGTTGTGGTTGTGGTGTGGGTATGGGTGTACGTATAGATCTTTTAAAGCACAACCAGACACTACACACCCACACCCACACTCACCAATTTCTTGACCCATGTGGCAATTAATTTTCACTTGCTAAACAACTAATGAGAGATTTAAAAAACTTTCACCGTAGCAACATCTAGCCATGTGTCTTCTATTATTTAAAAAGTTCCCAAGTCAGTTTACACGTAAGGCGTAGATGAGATCCTACACCGAAAAAGTGCTATTTTTCGACATTAAACTTGAAATATCTCGGGATTCATATGAAGAGATTAACTGAAATTTTGGATATATGCTAATAGCACTATTCCCAATATATCCTGAAAATTTCATGAAGAACCCATGTATTGGAGTCCAGATCGATAGGGACGTAAGGTGTCTAGAGATATCATTCTTGTTAGGCTCAGAAAATTACGAAGCCAATAGATTTTTGAAAACTATCTTTTATCAACAACATTGCCTCTCTAAGAACTACAAATTCTGAAATTTTCAGCTTCATCTAATCATTTTTTGTATATAGTATTAGATATCTGATGGAATATTCCCACATTGTCCCAGAAATTTTGGCCCATAGATTAATATTTAAATTTACATAACTTGCTACAGAAACATGCAATTATAATGCTGCGACAGTATATGAGAGGTCGCAATTAGATCTATCAAAGCACATCACCATTTGCTTATAATAGCTTCTTAACAAAATATTATAAAAACGAGAGGTTTGTCCCAAAACTTTTATCCAACACTACATGCTGTCCTGTCCTGTTCCCATCTCTGATCTTCTTATATTCATTTATTGAAACAACCATTTGAGTACAGTGAACACAGTCAATTGACAAGTACCAAAATTCGTTATTTTTCTCCTTTTCTTTTGAAATATCGTTACTATTGAAATAAAGTCTTTAAAAAGTAATAAAAGATTCTGATAGAACTCGGCATTGTCTATCAATGTAAATATTTTTGTCTCGCCTTGAGTTTATATACTGAATGTGCTGAAGAATGATTCGAGTATTATGTCGATAATCTCCTCAAGAAATCTGAAAAACTGGATTTCTTTTAGTAACACTTGACGTTTCATTTCAACTTTATTATTAATATAAGAACAAACTTTTGTAAAAATAATTTAAAAAGATTCTACTCGAGCTTGAAATTCTCTATCATCCTCTATATTTCTTAACTATCATGCAGTCATGTGCAGGAGAAAAAGCTGTGTATTGCGTCAGCACGTTCGTTCAGAAACACTAAAACAAAGTACATTTTTATCACTATCTGTATCACTTTTCTTTCCAAAAGTTCAGAATAACAGAGAATTTCAAGCTCGATTAGAATATATAATTATTTTTCTGAAACAAAAGATAACTCTATAGTGATAAGGAATGCAAAAAACTTACTTTAATGACGAACACAAAATCGAATCTGTGGAAATCTCAACATGAGCATTTCTTCATCATACTCAATTAATTTTAATATTAGACAAATGCAATTTAAAACATCTATATATCTATATATACATGGCGATAGAAAACTCCTACTGCTTTCAGAATATGAAATTAGTTTGAAAAAAAAATGTCTTGTTATACTGACAATATATTTGAAATACGAACTGAAAGTATTTTTTTCTGGTCGTATTATTGTGTCTGAGACTATAGAAAGTTGATTATTTGACAATAAGAAAATACAAAAACGAGAAAAAAAAAGAAATATTTTAACAAACTACCAATAGATATTTCTGTATATAAAAGAATTTTTGTCATTTATTAATCAGAAATAATGTATTAATAGAAGTTTTACAATGAATTCTAATGAATCCATATTAATGTAAGAGACATTTTGTATCTTTGACAAAATTCAACCAAAGATGCATATAATTAAATAGAAAAGTTATACACCTAAACACGTTTTACATATCAAAGACGAATACCAGAATTTCATTCATAGTATAATGACATAATGTCTATGAAAAAGAAAACAGAACAAAAAACGACAGAATCTCTTGAAAACAATAAAGAATAGTGTATATTTCAGTACGAAACTATCAAATCTTTTGATTGTTATTATTAATATATGTATGTATAGACATTCAGATAACTTTTCAAGAATAGGAGAAAATGAACAAGAAGATGATATGTTGATAAAAATACACATTAGAACATGAGTCATTGAATTAAACTATAATTATATTCACTAGATATTTTGCAATTAGATCGAGAGAATATTTACAAAAATAGTAATGTTACAGGTTATGATTAGTACATACAATTTTGTCTGTTATTATTTTCATAGATTTCAACTATTCTCTTAATTGTCAGTTAATGTTATAGTTCATATTTTTTCTTTTTCTCATCCTCTCTTCATACATTATCATGAGGTAAAAAGATGTTCGAAAACGAAAATAAAACAAGTACAAACAATTCTATCATGCTGACGAATAAACATGTTCTGAATACAGTAAGACAACTATTTTTCTCAGTTTATTTTCACGTATCTTATTTCTTCAGAAGTTCTTCTTTCTCAGCAACGTCATAGAACAGATATCAATGCAAATTCTTGTCAATGCTACTTGAATATTTGCTAGATTTTTCGTTTTTCTCTTCGTAAATGAAGGTATTAAGCAAGAGATAAATGATAAATTAGTTTTTTTTAAATTTTATTTCTTTACCCAAAAAGGTTGATTTACTTTTGTCAATGCTATTATGAAAATCAAAAGTATTTGACTGAACTTTATTCTCGAATATATCTATCTTTTGTTATATTAAATCAATGAAGTTCTTCATAAAACAGATTGTCTTGACGAAGTTACTCTTTGATAAATATTGTTTTTGACAAGCAAAAAAACATAGAGTCGATATGATCTTTATGTTTATCATCGATTATCTCGTATGAAAAAAAAAACAAAAAAAAAATTTTTCATCACGCGTGTCGAAAAAAATTTCGATGCTACAAGTATGAATTAAATCATATCAAAATCATTCGGTGACTTTTTATTCAAAATCTCTTTTAGCAGCACAATATAAATCATGATCGACGGTCGAAGTAATTTTCAAAGTTCACACTTTCTCAAAATAAATCATTTTTCTACTTTTCATATTCTAGATCGTTAACATTGTCATTTTCCTAGTGTGTATATTTTCAAAAACAAATGAGAACAACAAATATTCATATTCGAGAGCAAAGAGATCGATTGCAACTCTTATATTTAGTATAAAAACTTATCCATGTCATTAACTGATCAATAATATTTCAATTGTATTCTTGTGAAAAAATAAACATAAGTTCTCAAGTTGATTTATACATAAGGGTGAATGAATGAAGAAAGTTCAAAAGTTGTAAATGAACACATCTTTTTCTAAGAATTTGATTTCAAAGCTAAATGTTAATAATAACAGAAAATTTGAAAATGAAAAAATCTTTTTTGTTCTATTTCTTTTTCATGAAATAGAATTTTTTCTTTTTTAATCATTTGAAATGTTATTATTTTTAAGAATCTTTGTTGATAACACGGCAAATCTTTATAAATACCGGTTGCAACTTGTTTAAAGTTTCGACATCTAACGGATACATATTTTGCTGTTGCATAAATTGATTTAGATCATATTGTTGGATACTTTTTTTTTCTGTAGCATATGCTTTGATATTCTTCTGAAGATGAAAATTTGAGTCGGAGTTTTGTTTTTCTTTGAGATAGTTTCACATATCGTCGACAGTTATTCAGAATTCTGCCTAAACATTACTTATAATTTCGAATAATTTTGGATATATCGTTGAAAGTTTATTAACATCCATGTTTTTTTTTTAAATATATGTTTATTGGATTTTTTCTCAGTTGACTTGAGACAAGTTGTTCCGACAAACGTTCTCTAGCCATACTAAATAAATGTCTAATTCAGATTTGCTTTTCCAGTGATTTTTCTTTTTCTTGTCTTTTCATTTCACTCTTTTCGATATCTTCACATATCTTTCTTATTTGTTCGAACTGTAATTTTAATGCATTAATATCTTTCTTGATATTACTAATATCATTATTTAATAGCTGATTTACTTTGGCTAATTTATTCGTGATTTTCTAAGTAAAATACAGAGAAATGAATAACAAAACAAAGTTAAAAATTCAATAAAACATTAATAGTTACCGACACATTTTCAAATACTAATGACATTATTTTCACAGCCGATTCAATAAGATCGATAAGTTCAGCAAATGCTTCGTGAAATTTTTCTTGATCAATTATCAATGGACTCCATTTGCTTCTCCATTTACTCATATCAATTTTGCTTTGCTCCAAAAGTACCTGAAATTGAGTATCATGGATCAAATTTGAATTGGTACATAATTGTATATCCAAACAGATAAGTAATTCATCAAATAATACTGAAAACGATTCGATTTTATCATTGTCTTCTTCATCAAATATCATGATTCCATTTTCATAAATTTGACGTAGTATCGTTTTAATTCTTTCATTGACACTTGGTAAAATATTTTCAATTCTATTGAACATAAATTGAACTTTAGCTAATCGTGACATTCTAAGTAGCAAAACAAAACAAAAACACATATGTTATTCTAAATAGAATTAAAATGTTTGTTTTTTTTTTGCTTTTTGTAACTAATATAGATGATACAATTGAAAACAAGTAGTTATAAACTTCATAGTAGTGGCGTAACCAGATGGGGGCAAGAGAGGGCTCAACTCCCTCTACGGAGGCTTGAGCTCCCTCTACAAGTTTTTAAAAATTTGTTATGATCAAAAAAGTAATTATTTAAAGAATGAAGAATTGTGTATTTGACTTTTTCATGATCGAATATAGAAAGGTAGTGAATGACTCCTTTTTCTTGGAACAGTTTGATACTTTCCACGAAGAAGCACGTAATAATTAGTGNATTCTTTTCTCAAAAACTAAGAGTTGTCCAGGAAAGGGGGTAGTATATTTGAAATCCTTATAAAATTCTGAATCGAATGATGTATGCTGTTTTCTTGTAAACCACCCCCAAGAAAATCGACTCGATTTGCTATGATAAGGCTGATTAACATTTTTATCACATTTTTTTAAATAATTTTTTCTGAATCTCAAGTGTATAGTTACTGTTCGATTCTCTATAACACGAGATTAAAAATAAGCCTGAAATTAAAATATTCATCTAAAGACAATCGGCGTAGTGTTGAATGAAAACCAGCGAATTGGAAAAAGACGTGAAAATTATGTTACTTATTGTTTATCAAAACTGAAATTATACTTAAAAATTTGATTGAAACTCTAAATGTCATGCGAGACTTTTCATCGAGTTTCATCTACAAATTTCTTGTAGTATCGCCGTTTTTGACGCAAGTATTTTTAATGAATTTTTCAAACCTCTTGTATTTATGCAATTATTCGTCGTATATATGCAAAAGTTGTATTCAAGCATTTTCATGAACTTCGAACAATTCTCATCCATTTCGATCATACTCATGGTAGTAGCCACCAAAAATTTATTCATTTTCTCCTCTCATATATATTCTACAGTAAAACGCACTACTTATCATCACTCAAATTGAAAGTTTTTGTTTTCATTTCTGTTTTTTCTCGAAACGGTACAATAATGTTAAAATTCACTCATATATATAGTTATATTTACTTCATAACATGCTAGATCAAATCCAGCAAATGGAACTATACCAATTTGGTTGAGTACATAACCACGCCAAAAAGCTTTTGGACCTTCGAGCTTATACATACGTTTGACAGTATCGGTCCAATGGGGATATTCACCTGTACGTCTTAAACATAAACGTACTTTTAATACCTAAATTCAAAGAAAACAAAATTTTCTAGAGAGAAAAAAGCCAATAATAATTACATCTAATGGATAGACAAACGTTTGAGAAAGAAAACCAGCCATTGCTCCAGCTAAAAATCGTTCAATAACTGTTGTTTCTGTACATAATTCTTTACTCTGAATTCTTTTCAATATTTTTTTCGTCTATAAATTGCATAAATTAATAAAAATTGGAATCTCTATTTACATATCAATAACATACTTCTTCAAATAATGCAAATCGTAGTGCTGTTTCAGGTATAATTTTCAAAACATTAACACCATTTCCACGCCATAAACTTTTTACACCACCTTCATTAATTAAATATCGAAAACCACTTATTACAGTCATATGTTGTCTTGAACCCAAATACTAAGAAATCTAACAAGATTAATCGATCTATTAAAGTCTCAATGGATAACAAAGAAATCTGAGGAAACTGTCTTCGAAAAAGCTTTGTACCTGCATAATAATTTTAAGTCGATCAAATGGAGCAGTAGCTGTTCTTGAGATAGCACCAGCGGTACCACCTGCTATAAAATTCTTCCACCATTGATTACCTTCTGTTAGTGCGTCTTCAGGTGCACCATAAGGAGATTCACCTAAATCTAGATACTGATCAAATATTGTTTCATATTTTTTGTCCAGAATAAAATGTTAAATAACGAACCGATGCACTACGCCAGTAACGAAGCATCACACGTGGATCATTAGTAACACTTTCTAGAATCGCCGGATTAGCCATAAAAAATGAACGCCATTCATCAAATGATATTTGTAATGAATGATCTTGATCCATTCTAAATAAACAAAAAAACAGAATTCAATTTACAAATAGATCTGTGACAGTTGGCGATCGAAGAACTGAAACTACTACTCAGTTCTCTTTGTTTTCAAATGGAATAAGTACTCAATAGAATTGCCACATTATCATTAGCAGTAAACATAGTTCATACGAAAAGAACTGATCACTTGAATGTACAGCAATATTATGTATTTTAAAGGTACCTTCTCCTCTTTTGCATGTCATCTCTGATTCTCAAATAGGGTATAATCGATCTGCATGAAATTTTTACTACAACGAGAACAACTAAAATAAGGTGGCACGTATTCGACAAAAAAAATTGAAACAAGGTTCTTGTGGCTCTTTTCTGGAAAATTCTCTGGTTTTCCATGGAATCACACCAGGTTCACTTTTCGATAGTAAAGGTTTAGATCCAAAATTGAGATTCTCACGTTTAGAGCTCTATAAATCCGAATCGAAAAGTCAAAAACGAAAACGGTCGATTTTTGCTTCTGAAGAATAGTTTCAAGAATCTGCGGTCAAAATCTCAGACTGATCGAACAAAGTTAGAGAGTGCTCGTGAGCAGGGCCGGTGCAGTCCTGCAGAAAATCAGAATTTAGCAGAAAAAGTTGTGAAAATCTTGTTTAAAACTTTTTTTCTTCAAACACCTATCTCTTTATTTTAGATACTCTATCAATGATACAAATTTCATGTGGATCGATTGTAGACTCTTTGAAAATTGAGATATTCATTGGTGTTGAGCGCTTTTTTCGCAGAAATTACTTGTGAAAGTTAATCTAATACAGATGTTTTGTTTTGTCGATTTGGTTTTCTATTTTTGTTGCTCATATAATATTACTAAAACTAAATACTACAAAAAAACAGAATGAAATTAGGTTTTCGAAGTTTCTATAATTTACTTTAGCTCTGATTCTGCCACAGTCAAAGTTAAACAGGTCTATTTACAAACAAAAACATTTTTCTAATTATTTACTTTTTGACTAATTTCTTTGCTTCTTCTAATTCAATTGTAATACCAAGTTTTTTAAAATAAAAGACTAAATCTTCTGCATCGAATTTTCCTAAAATACAAACCATTAATTCGAATGAGTTTTTATTTTTCTTGTTATTTATTTTTACCTTGATGAGCAGCATCTACATTTCGAAAAACTAGACTGAGTTTCTTTTCTTGTTTTAAAACATAATTAGCAAATTGTTGAAAAGTAAGAGACGATGCATTTGATGATCCACTACCTTGTTTGATAATACTCTATGAAAGTATACGAGAAGATACAAAAACACGATTTTTATTTGATATCAATCTTAAATATAACTTACACGTGCGACAGCTACACGTTTTCTAGGTGATGTTTCAACATCAACTTTTTCCAATAATTGAATTAATTCATCAACATCAATTTTTCCATCATTGTTCTTATCAACACGACGAAAAAGTTCATCGTATGAAAGTTGATTTTCATTTAATTTTTGATGAATTTCAGCATCGTCTATTAGATCAGGAGACGGATCGTTCATCGTTTATCTTTTCTTATTCTATTATCATGATAATGTGTATGGCCTCAATCACACCGAACGAGTTAAAACTGAATTAACCAATCAGCTTGCTGAAAACGTTAAAACAGAAATTAGTCATCTCTTTCTCTTTTAGATGACTTAACGATAACGCACCAATCAGATATGATTCTGTTTCATCAATAAAAAAAAACATGTGGCGCCTCATATATGTGCATTTTTTCAACGAGGTAAATGTACATGAACATGTCCGTCATGATCTGATTTGACGTCAAAATGAATATCGTCTATTGCGTTCGTTTTTTATTCACATTTTATTCAAAAAAAATAGAAATTATTTATCTTTTTGCTTCATTTTAGAATGAAACCACAAATAGTACGATTTGTTGTATCCTCCAACAAAAATTTTCAAGGTTATAATCTGTCACAAGGTGCAAATACGTTTGAAACCAGAGGTCCAACCAGGCCGCGTTTTTGCAGGCCTGGCCGGCCTATGACAGGCCTCTGAATT